TTTGGAGGAGTCAGTCACTGAGCTTCCTTTCCAAGCAGTTTACCAATGTCTTTTAAAAGGAGATTCTAGATGGATAGAGAAAATGCCATGTGACTGATGGGCTCTGTCAGACGTAGGAAACTTATTCCTAGCAGGTACAAAGAAATCATTCAGCAAGCTCTGCTGGCAAGGAAGGGGAAATTAGACCATAAAGCAGAAGACCCTGTGATGCCTTCACTTGGATAATCACCAAATACCACCCTCTGTCAAAATCCTTCTTCTTTTTTTCATAATTTATTTTGGTGTCATGGAGATCTTTGCACACCTAATGGAAATTATAAGTATTCCTCCCAGAAAAATGGACACACATACACAGACACACACACAATTCTGCATATTAATCTGTGGCTTTCCTGGATGTTTTCATGTGAAAAATTCCTTTTTAACAGAGTGATTTTGTATTATCTTCAGTAAACAAATCAGTTAACACTTGAAAATAGATCTGAGTGCTCAATTTCCTGTTTAAAAGTGTAATATTTAAAATCGGGACTTGTAACTCTCCCCATTTTTGACCACTTACTTGTTTTATTTTCCTATGATAAGCAGTTTCAAAAACCTTTGTAGATGTTTCTGAAACGCCTAATTTCTAGGGGATTTTTTTATTTCTGACTGCTAGAAAGTGCAGTAGGCCCTGAGGTATGCTTCCTAAAAATATTTTATTATAACTTTATGAGGAGATAAGCAAAGAGACTGTAATATTTTTCCTGAATTAGTTTATATCAAATAAACATTGATAACCCACAGGATCTTTATAGTGAATCAGACTCTAATACCAAAATGTATTGTTTCGGAAGAAATAAATGGTCAAATGTGCACAGCTACTGTAGGCACAGAGGAAAGATTGCAAAAATATGGAAAGAAAAGCCTTTTAATACTCGTTCTCCATGAATATGTAAACAACAATGTTGATGAATAAGCCTATGAATTTCTATGTCTGTATCTAATATTTTACAGTTGGGACAGAGAAACTTCCTAAATATTTGGTGTGAGAACATGTTTAGAAAGTTTGCCAATCATTGTAAACTTTGATTGTTACAGTAAAACACCTTTTATTCTTACAGTAAAGTCCCCAGAAAAATTTATGTTAGTTTATAAAAGTTTATAATAATAAAAATTTCCATACCAATCATTACAGACCAAGAGCAACTAAGTTTATAATAATTTATTATGGTTGCATATCATTTATCATGTATAATAAATTATAGAAACCATAGTATCTTTATAAACTATTTAGCATATCATATTCACTTCCTAAGGCTTATGGCAGTAACTGTAAGAAATTTAATTAGATTATATTTTAGCATCAGTTAGAAGATTAAAAATTGAAAAATGTTTTCACAGTACTTCAGATTTATGAAGGACCCCATTATTTTAACCTTTATGCAACCAGTTTGAAATGCCTAAAAACCCTTTTAACCAGTTTGAAATGCACGAAATCCCTTTACCTTTGAAATGCATCAAAACCAGAAGGGGCTTATGGTTTTACTAAGCTTCTGAAAGTATTGCAGTTCCTTGAATTTATACTGAACACCCATGTGGTGCCTTCTGTCAGGCATTGCAATAAATGCAAATAAATAATCAATTACTGATCTCAAAAAAATCTATCCAATAGACAACACTGAAACTTGACTACATTGTGCACATTCAAATGAAAAACTCAGTGAACAATCAGAGCACAGTATTCTGTCTTTCCCCTCTGCCCCCTCCCTCTCTCTACCCAGTTCCCTTAAGGAAAACAAGTTCAGGTTGAATTTCAGTCCTAGGGCCAGGCAAAGGGACCCGACTGTCACTCTTCCCCAGCCTGTTATCTGCCGTTTCAGTTCTCATCACATCTGTCCAGACTCTCCTGACACCGGCGTCCTTTCCCACAGGGAGAGTTTTCAAATCCTTGCTGAAAGCATTTTGTTCTCTCTCCCCTAGAACAGCACAGGCATGAAATTGGATGGAGTCTTTGTCAGCAGCTCCTTCCCAGCATCAGGAGTCCTGACCAAAGGAAACTTGCAAGACAGCAACCAAATGCTGCCTGGTTCGTCTCACAAACTCACTTGGTCTCTTTAAATGTCCCTTCTTGGATAACGTCCTTATCCATTCTCTTGTCCTCAGTGAACCTTGATGGAATATTTCCGCAGTTTCAGGAACTGGAAAAGCTTGTCCCGCGTCCTCTTTTTCAGGCCCATGAGGGCGCGTGTCTTCTCCTCCAGATCTTGATCTATGGCGAAGATGATCTTAGCTCTCTCCTCGGCTTTCTTGTCCCCGGAGTTTTTGAAGAGCCTCTGTAGTGATTCTTGGTCAATGTTCTCAAAGATGTTGCCCACGGCTTTCTTGCGCGAGGCCGTGTCAAAGTGGTAGCCGTGGATGGACGGGCTCACGCGCAGCGACGTGGACATGGCGGTGGCTTTTTGGCTTGGCTTTGCTTTCATCTATGTGGGGATCTTTGGGAATTCCACTCTCAGGCTCTCCAGAGAGTCTGTAGCAAAATCATTCCGGGACTGCTATTTAAAGAGCGAACAAAAGCTCCGGGCTCAAATTACCCCGGTGACATCAGAGTGATCTCAAGGCAGAGTAATCACAGACAGGTTTAACAGTTGAGCTGCCAATATCCTGTTCTTGTGTAAATGTCACTAGAGGCTGTGTTCAAGGGAAGGGGCAGGAATGTTGAGGATTTCTTTTTACCTCCTCTGTGGCAACAGGATGACACAAACCCACATTTGTGGCCCCTTTAAAAAATAGCTGAAACCAGGAAAATGCAAAGATGAGACACAAAGTGACTTAGACTCTCAACCTCTTTCCAGACAACAACCAGAACATAGGGTTCAGCTGACCACAGGCAAGTTTTAATTCCTAGAGGAGTTACTAAAGTGTACCCCAAACACGTGGCAGCCCGCACCTGTGCCCTTTGAACATCCCTACCCAGGTCAGCTTCAGAGTGTTGAGAGGAAGTGTGGCAATCGAGGATGTCAATCTGGAGTCGGCCTGATCGTGGAATGGGGAATTCACCTGCCGCACGCTGCCAGGCACAGCTTTGCAAAGATTGCGTGCAAGAGCTAATCTGTAATTGTAGAATAAAATCGTAATTTAATACTGTTATAACAGATGATACCTCCTTAGGCCTGTGTATATTCAATAGCAATGCTTATCCACAAAGTGGGGAGGAAATATTAACCAGCCTGTAGGCATAGTCCTCCAAAGGGGTGAGTTGACTGTTGCCTGTAATGTTTACTTTGGCATTACCCCGACATGGAACAATAAATACCTTCTTTGGAAGAACTTAAATTGGCTCTTTCCACCTTCCACAGGCTTCACCCAGCCAATGTCCCTGCTGACGTATGGAGCACTTCGTCCCACCAAACCGTATATGTCAACTTTGAAAGGCCCTAAATGAGACACTTCTCTCCACGGACCTTCTGCCAGGTCCGCTTTCTCATATTCCAAGAATCAAGGCTGGACTTCATGAATTTTCCCTCATCTGGTCATGTCAAATCTAGAAAATACACAGCGGCAGTGTGGGGAAGTTCTCTCATTAGAAAATTGAGTTATGTATATTCTTATATATTCAGTCATTCATTCAGTCACTCATTTATTCAGTCTCTATTTAAGGTCTCCCTTTTGCTAGAATGTTTTTAGGTATTGGACATATAGCAGTAAACCAAACCAAACAAATCAAACCAAACCAAAAAAAAAAATTAAAAATTAAAATCCCTACCTTATCCTAATGGAGCTCACATGCTTCTGAAAGATATAGAAGAATGTGCCTTTATAATATAGGTGATGTCAGAAAGGAATGCCTACCAGGAGTACAAATGAAGCAGAGCTGTACAGGAGATGAAGGGGAGGGTTGGAATTTGCATAGGATATTCAGGGGCAGCACCCTCAAGGGGGCTTGGGCAAAGAGCCCTGAAGGAGGTGAGGGAGTAACCCGCGTGGACGTCTAGAGGAAGGGTGTTGTGGGCAAAGGGAACAGCAACTACAAAGGCCTGCAGAGAAGATCGTGCATGGAGTGTACGCAGATCGGCCACGGGAGCAGTGTGCTCGGGCAGAGTGGGCAGAGAAGGGCGGGAGCCGGCGAGAGGGCAGGGGGAGGGGGGCGGACGCAGGCTCAACACCACCCGGCGGGCTCTTTCACAGACTGAGCTTTTACTCCCTAGGGGCACGGGCCACCTTTGGAGAATCTGTAGCAGAGAAATGACATGATTTTCCTCATAAGCCTTAAAAAGTAATGGTCATTTCTTAGTATAGAATTTAGGGAGGCAAGCTGGGCCGTGGGGGGGGCAAAAAGACTGGTTAGGAGACTTTCAAACTAATCCAGGCCAGAGATGATAAAGACCTCCACTAGGAAGTCGTGCAAGTGAGCAGTTTTGGGCCCCATTCTGGGCACAGTGCAAAGGTTCAGTCAAAGGGACTGCCGACAGCTCCCGAATGAGGGATGTAAGACAGACACGAGCCGGCACAGCGTGGTCTCTTCCTGAAGGGGGTTCGTCTCCAGGTGAGCAGTGGTGTCCAGGTTTTCCACGGAAGAACCCTCTGTGCTGCCGCCCACAACCGGGGATTTGCCAGCACACAGAGCACGCCTTTGTCTCAGCCCGTCTCCCTCACTACTAAAAAAACAGTTGTTATTATTATGGCAACAAGGAGTTTCGCTGAGTTTTTACTAAGTGCCAAGTACACTGCCAAGAAATGTACATGACCCGTCGTTGTTACCATCATTCCTAAAGGCTCTGCCAACCTTCTCAGCCTTCAGGTGATTCATGTACAGGTCACGCTTTTTTATCCCTGGTTCATCAGTTACTCCCAAATTCTGATTCCCAGCCTGCCCCTGTCCTCTGAACTATAGACGCATTTATTTAACTAATCAGTACAAATATCTGTTCAGGTATAAAAGTCAGAAACCTAGCTATCATCTTTGATATCTCCTTTCTTTCTCTGACTACATCTATCTGGAGCTGTCACCAAGTTCTGTCAAATCTGTCTACAAAATATTTCCCAAATCAATCCACTTTCTCTCCATTTTCACTGCCTCCATGTTGTGGATACTTCAGTGCCCAACCGGGACCTCCCTTTAAGATATTCCCAGATGCTCAGCAGTCACCCACCTCTGTGCGCTGCCACCACGGAGGAAGGTAGGTCACCCCTTCCTGGTGTAGCTGCATCTACATGGATTGTCATGGGGGTGTAAAGACCCCTCGCTTCTCCCTATTCCTGAGAGGTCATGCACACACCAGGGCAACTTCAAGGTCAGCAGAGGCCTCCCTGTGCCCAAGCCTGTTTCTTTCCCACTTGCAGGAGTTGAACCCAGGAGCACTCCATAATAAACCCCCTCCTGCTGATTGCCTTCTCAGAATTTACTTCCTGGGGAGCCCCATCTGTGACGCCCCAGCTTCCCTCACCTAGACTAAGCCCAAACCTCTTTCCAGGCTTTCCTGCTTCCATGCCTGCCCTCTATTCTTTGCACAGCACCCACAGCAATATTTTCTCACAAGCAATCTGGTCAGACCACTCTTGCTTTTACTTTTAGGTTAAGTCCCCCAGATCCCAACATGACCTTTCTGAGCATGCCTGCCTGGTCTCTGACTTCTGCAGCATGACTGATCATTTACCACTCTCCCCACAACCACGGTACCTGCTTATTCCTTGAAGGCACCATGCTCATTTCTGACGTGGGCCTTTGCACATGTTTTCCCTCTTTTTACAATGTTCTCTAATTTTTACCTCAGCTGCATGACTCTTATTCCTTCATGAAATCTCAACTCAGAGAGCTATTTGCTCAGAGGGCATCACTGGTCCTTCTAGACTAGGTCAGTTCCCCTTGCCGATAACCCTTTACTGTCCCTTAGCAGCACTTGTGACAGTTGTCAGGCACACCTTTATTTTTGCAATTACTCATTTTTAAAGCTGAGTTCCACCAGGAGCAGGCACCAGATCTGCCTTTCTCGTTAATGTGTCTAAAACTCCTGTGTCACTTAATGTGATTTCATTATAATGTGAAACAGCAATGTGCACAATTCTGTTTACTTCCCATAACAGCCTGAGCAGTTGGAACTATTCCTCATGTTACAGATAAGATAACTGAGGCAATGATAATTTACTCCTTCTTGTAGGCTGAATAATGGTCCCCGGAAATATCCATATTCTATGAATAAAGACAAAAAGGAACTTTATATTACAAAAGGAACTTACTGGCTAAAGGAATTTTGTAGGTGTAAATAAGTTAGAGGCCTCGAGATGTGTGATTATTTTGGGTTCTCTGGGTGAGCCTGTGCAATCATAAGAGACCTTAAAAGAGAGGCAAGAAGTCTGAGATGTCAAGAAACTACACTGCTAGCTTTGAAGATGTAGGAAGGGGCCAGGAGCCATGAAGGTGGGCAGCCACTAGAAGCTGGAAAGGGCAGCCCTATGTCAAACCTCTGGCCTCCCGAACTATAAGATAATAAACATGTGCTGTTTTAAGCCACTAAATTTGTGGCCATTTGTTACTGTGGCAGTATGACCCTAACTGACTCCACAAATCCATCAGCTATGGCAAGACAGCTTGAACCCAGGGCTACCTAACTCCACACCCATGGCTTTACACTCTATTGCACTCAGCTCAACTGCAAGCTCTGTCTTCAAAAGGCCTGACTAAAGTTTCTACATGACATTGGTTTCCTTGGGTACTGCCTAAAAGCATTCAGAAGAATTTGAGAAATTAAGGAGATTTCACATTTATTTAGAAGACAAGACCATCCCCAGGGAAACAATGTCAGCTTCTGTTTTCCAGAAATGTGACAGAAGACTTAAGGTTTTGATTTGCTGAGCTCTTTGCCAAGGGTACCTCCATATGTACTTGGAGAGCTTTTTGCTGCTGTCACCTTGTTCTTTCCCTTCCTTGTGTAAATATTTAGAGTGAATGATGTGGACAACACGATCCAAAAAATTACTGGCAGAGATTCACAGATTGCACGTGGACAGGATCAATCATATAGAACTTACAGAATTTTTGCTTTCCGCAGCAGAGACAAGACGTGACGAAAGTGGTTTAAAAGAAGCAGCTTCTGAGCTGGTGTATTTTCTTCTGGGCACAACATTTTTAGTATTTTTTCATCACACAAAGAGATTGAATGTCTGTTTGCCAGTAATAAGTGTGCTGGGTTAGCTTTGTGTCTCATGAAGAGATTTGGGAGACAAGCAAAGAAGAAAACTAACATTGACTAAGAGACTTTTATGCCATGTTTTCTTCATGTAATATCTAAATGACTCTTCCTAACAACATGGAGGTAGTTTGAAACTGTTATCTTTTGAAAATTCTACCATGACGCCCTTTCATTTATCCTTTCACACCTCTGATTTGTAGGTTCATTCACAGGCAAATTGTGGAATGCTTATTATGTGCCAAGTATAAAGCTTTGTATGCTTGAGGAATACGTTAAGGAAAAAGGACATGGTCCTTGTGTTTGTGGAACATGAGGTCTAAAGAAAAAAGAGACTTTAGAGAAGTAAGTAAACGTATGAATATGTTAAGAAAAATTTTATAAAGGCTGAAAGACGGAAAGTACCAGGTGACCTAATGGAAAAAACAAGGCAAGGCTTCATTTAAACCATTTGAGTCATGAACAGCTTTACTAATGAAGTCGCATTTAAACTGAAACTTGAAACAAATGTTAGAATTAACAAGTAAAGGAGCATGGGGAGGTAGGCTTTGGATGCAGAAGGAAATCCTGTGCAAAGGCTCTGAGGTGAGAATGAGTTCAAAGCGCAGGAAAACAGACACAAAGACAATGCAAGTGGGTAACAGAAACCAACAGAGGAGGGGAGGCCGATGCTGGACTGGTAGGCAGGGGTCCCATCCTGTAGAGTGTGGAAGGCCAGATTAAAGATTTAAAATTTTATCTTAAGTGCAATGTGCCATCTTTAAAAGACCATACGTGGGGGAAAAGGAATTGCTGGGGTTTTAAATTTTTATTGTTTTTAATTACTTTGGCTGTCAGGCCATCACAGACAACTAAAGAGAGCAATTATGGTTTCAGAGAATAAGTGGGCTATTCTAATTGCATTTTGGAAATAAACTCCAAGGGACTTGTGATGAATTGCTTAGTGGATAGGCTAAGGGTCAAGGGTTGCCCCCAGGTTAAGTCTTGGGCCCCTCAATGAGGAAGGCTGGCATGGAGAAGGTGAAAATGCAGAGGATTTGGGAGAAAGAGTTCATGACACACACACAGTAAATCTGAAATGCCAGGGAAACAGTCGAGGAGATAGTTGAATATACGAATCTAGAGCTCAGAGAAGTCTGAGTGTGATTCTAATTTGTTATCCTTTCTCAGTAATAATTTTCAAGAAATCAACATTAACTGTAGCTTTCTTTCCCCTACTTAGGCATAAATCCAGAACCCAGAACAATACCTGACACAAAGTAGACTTTAAATAAATGATTTTAGAGTTCTTTTTACATTAACAAAAATTCCGAAGCCTAGAGAGGCCTACATAACATACAAATGAAAGAGCTGGTCAGTGACTATGTAGTGTCTCATCCTCGGTGGATGAAATCTCCCCCATTTTTCTCTACTTCACGGAAATAGTAATCGTTCTCTTCAGTAAGTGTTTTGAAGGTCTTTATTATATTCCATATTTTTATATATTCTGGGTTTCCATTCTTTCTATAATTGTGGCTAATCCCCTTATAAAATCAACCAGCAAACATTTTTCTTTTGGTAAATTTTATTAAATGTATTTTCAACCTTTAATTATCATCAGCAAGAAAGAATGGCAGTTTTATTTAGAAACGTTGATTCTGACATTTTTTATCTCAGAGAGGAACTAATTATAAATTCTGAAGCAATACAAATTTTTTAAAAACTGAGGAAATATGTTTTCAAAGCCATTCAGTCAAAATATGGGGAAAAATCCACAACTTTATTGAAAAGAATTACCACCAACATGATTTTTTTAAATGCTTCTTTATAAATGATGCTTTGCATGTGAAATGAAACAGCTGTCTTTGCTTAAGGCATCAGTCTATATTTGCCATGTTTCCTAAAAAAGAAACGAAAGATAAGCTTTTCTTTTTTTAAATTTTAATTAGCTGTTCAGATTCAGATATTGCACCCCTGGTATTTATAGCTTCCTTAAAAAGAAAACAGTTGTGAGCATAAACCAACATGCTTTTCTCAGGAAGTGAGCAGGAGATATTTATATGTATTTATAGTAGCATGTGTGTTTCTATAATCTACGAGCAAAACCAAAATAAGTATGAACCATCTCTTCCCACTCGCAGCTCCCACCCACTCACAGTTCATATGAAAACCGTGACGGTGGCTTATGCCAACCATCTTCCGCACAGAACTACTAAGAAAAGGGAAACTACTGCATGTGCTTCCCGGATTTTGTAAGCAGCGTTGCACATTAAACATACTGCCGCTCCTAAAGTTCCTCCTCTCTTTTCTCCTACTGAGCACTGAACAATCGCTCTGTTCTCTCTGTAGACAGGCCTCATTCCTGTATGACTTTCCAAGAACTACATGCAGCCCAAACCTGGAAAGGGCAGAGAGAAATTGGTCAGTGAAGGTTCTCAAAGCCACGGAGGGAAAACTGGAGGCTTGGAATTCACAGCCCATTAAAGTGACTTTGTAACTCACTCATGAATCAAAACCTGGAGTTTGAAAAACACCAAACTAGACAATGATAATGGTCCTTCCAGATCCTGGGCAGGGGAGGGAGCTTTTGCATAACTAGTGGGTCTTTGTTACTGCTCTTGTTAACAATTGTGTGTACGAAAGACCTTCACCCGCGCCGCCCTGGATAGAGGATCCAGTACTGCCCTCACCCTAAGCACATGGGAATTTTATTTTTAAATGTCTCTAGAATTAGATTGTAGAACCACATAAAAATATCTCAGCAGCTGACACCAAAGAGGCACTCCTTCATTCATTCCTTTGTTTAATTATTCAATAAAGTCTTTTCATTTTATTGTGAAAGCCTCCCACCCACTTTGCTGTGTCCTGAAGAAGCCAATACTTACGTGCCTATAGTCCCATTTGCCACTCCTCCAGACAGGCCCAAGTGTCCCCGCCTCCACTTATGCAGGGTGATGAGATAGGGGCTGGAGGGAGGAGTGGTGAGAAGGGCCCTGGCCAGAGGCCAGCGCCGGGGATGGGGTGGGTGGCGCTGGCCACCTCTGGGGGGAAGGCTGACGAGGAGGTCCAAGCCAGCTCCCAAGACCCTCCACAGGCACCTGTTTCAAATGCATCAGGTGAAAGACCTGAGCCTCAGCTCCACTATTACATGTTGACCCATGAATATGAGGAACCCTAAAATGTTGGGAGAATGGCACAGCTGTTACAAAATCTCAGCTTGTATCTCTATAGATAGACCTACCTTTCTGCTTAAGCAAGTAAGACTGGAAAGGAAAAGGAAGTCAGATACTCATTTAGTATATTCGTATGTTTCAGGATCACTCAGAGACTAGCAGTCAACAACAATTTATTATGGATTTTATGTCTCAAATGCAGAGGAAATGGGCCATGGTCCCTGAACTTCATCTGTTTTGAAAATTGGTGACTTGGTCCATGGTTTTTGAAAAATACTGACTGAATGTTTACTGAGCCTTTTAGAGTATAGCCCTGTCCTATAACTTCTCTTTTTAAAATGCTCCTGACATCAACTTGCTATGCCATGTTTTGTCTTTTTCTTTTTAAGGTATAGTGTTCTATACATGCTCTCAAATCTTGTCAAAAGTTGTCTCCCCTTGTGTTCCAAGTTCTATTGTGCATGAAGTAATTCCTCTAGTGACAGCAACAAAGTCCATTGAAATGTGGGCAGAGGCATGCCGTTTGTCCTGTCATTTAGATTTTGTGACCAGAATGGCATCCCCTTACCTATTTAACAGATTTGATTCAAGAAGGCGGGGCAATTTTCTGAGGGGCATACACTGTTGCCTGGTGGCTCAGAAAGGGTTAAAACAAGCTGATGGCTGATCCGCAAATTTGTGCAGCAGACTGTGTCTTCGTGTTGCCAACCCTTCCTCCTGCTTCTCTGCAGCACAAATACTTTCCTCCCGATCAAACTTACTCTCCAACAGGATTAAGAATTGGCACTTCATGCTAGTAAGGCAAATAATAATAACTTTCCATGGTACCTTTTAAGAGGGTGTTTGCATGTGAGCATGATTTCTCAGCTAACATAACATGGACCTCCAGCCTCCTGCACTCAGTGAAAACATGCGGCTGGCTCTCCTTCCTGGTCGCAGTTTCTGTTCACTTGCTCAACCACTGGCCCTTACAGAATTATACACCTGACCAATAGTAGTTATAATACACTGCAAACTGTATGTTGAGGGCCTGCCAAATACCTAGCGCGATGCCCACTTATTTTTGACTTTGCAAAGAAATTTGCACCATGCTGAGTTCACGTTCCCTTGCATGAAGATAGTTCCCTCTCTCCAGTTTCCAGCTCATCTCCAGCATTCTGTTTGTCTGACCTTAGAGCACTTCAGAACGCCGAGTTCCCGGACTTCCCTCTGGTCCCATCAGGCTCATGTCCCAGAGTGTACTGTAGCTCTTGGCAGAAGGAAGCAGGGAAGCTTTGCCAGAGGCTGCATCTCGCACAGCTGCAAGGGTAAATGCTCCCTGGCCCTTCGTGCTTTGCTGAGTCCCGAATCCCTGGGGCTCAGTCTGCACAAAAGAACAGAATCTGGCTGCCCTGGCGTCCTCACCTTCCTTCCTCTCTGTACTCCTGGAGAGGAAGTCACTGATATAAGATGACAGTAACAACAGCAACAACAAAAAAATAGGAATAATTGCATACTGCCTAAATCTCAAGCTTAGCTCACAGATCTGCGTTTGCCTGGAAGCCAGGAAAACTGCATGATGACATCAGATGGTAACAACCGTTTCACAGGTGTTTGAGATTGGCCTTGTTACTGGACCTCTTGTGTTAAGGCCAAATGCCGTAAGCAGTGCCTCTGAGAGCTGAGAGGGGTTGCAGAGTCTTTTAGAAAGGAGGTGTGGGAGAAGGTGTGGGAGACTGGCCCAGGTGTGGGAGACTGGGCCATGAGCCTCAGTCACTCTCCCTGCAAATTTGCTCTTTTTCCTGAGGCCCATGTGGCTGTACTGGGCCCACTACTCAGTTTCACACCTCTGCAAGGGGCAGCGAGACTTCCGGCTCTCTGGCTCCTGCCTCTGGCTCAGATACACAGTCCTCATTTTAAGCAGGCAGAAAGGGGTTCCCCTGAGTCCCCATATCCCTGGGCTGCTTCTTTGCTGACGTATCACTTCTCTTTATATTGACGTATCACTTCTCTTTATATTGATGAGAATAGTGGGTAAGGGGGAGTTTCTTTCTCAGAAAAATTCTGGAGGCAACTTAAGTCTGAAAATTTTCTGTCTGGAATTTCACACTAGATTGATCATGGTTGTAAATAATCTGCTTTCTGGCAAGTAGAACTCCCAGTCTGGGCAGAGAAAGGAGGGAAGGGAAATCATCTTCAGGAGCTGCCCTTCTCCAAGCACCTTTCATGCACTTCACAAATCATCAATAGAGTCCTGTAAGATAGCTAGTCGAATATCTTTGGAAATCTGTGGAAACTTAGGTTCAGTTCATAACTGAATGCACAGGTGCTTATTTTGTGTTTGAATCTAAAACCAGAGAGAGCCTGAGCACCAGCCTGCTGCATGCACAGGTTGCAGCTCTGATCAGAGCTTCTGTCTCTTCCTCCCCCTTTCTCCTGCTGTATCTGCATGCATGGGGCACTTTTCCCACAGCGTCAGATCATACGTATGTGCTACAATAATTCTCCGAGCAACTCACTGAGCTCACAGGGAAACGAAGCTTAGGGAAGCGACGTACCACACAGGACATGAAGTGGCTGAGATGGAATGGCCATCCCAGTTGAAGTAGGACCATGGGACTCTCGGTCCCTGCCTTCCCACAGCCCCGCCACAGGTTCACGGGACATTGGAAAGAGGGCTTTTATGCCTGTTAACAATTTTGCAGCTGTGTTAGACCCAGGAGAGCAGAGAGGGCAGAGATCTGGGATTGAGGAGACAGATGGAGGGAGTCTAAAAGGAAGGGGAGTCACGCATTAGTTGAAAAGTCTAGCAAGGCTAGAGAGATGGGTAACAGATGTTTTAAACATTGTTCAAGGACATTCCATGGTGGTAGCACCATGCTTTCTCCACTCAAGAATGCATGCAAGCAGGGAGACAGATGCAGAGAAAGAACTCCACTCCATCCCCAGGCCCCGCACTCACTTCTCTCCTGCCCCATCCTGCCTTAGTCACTGCTCACACTGTCCACAGAGGGCTCACTCTCCCTCCAGCTGTTTCCTCTCTCTCCCCTGCGTCCCCTTACTTTGCATTCAATCCAGTGAGTTCTGACAGATCAGCTTCCCACAGAGTATCTCACTAACTCTGTGGCTACCATGGCCTCCTAGACACCATCATTTTTCTCCTGGACTTCCACAAGTTTTTTCACTATCTCCAGCAGCTAGCATGTTTTTGAAGCATAGATTTCATCATAATCTCCCCCTACCTCCAGCAGCTTCACCCTGAGCAGTATGCAATCTGAACTTCTGATGTGATCTTGCAAAGCTCGCTGCCCTTTGGTCCCTGCTCTTGTCTATGGCCTTAGCTTGTCTCTCATTCTCTTTCTCTCTTCTTTGTCCACACTGCCTCTTAATGTGTTACCTCAAATGCAAAAGGGTGTTTCAATACTTCATTTGATAAGCCCAATTGTGAGAGCGCTGAACTCAAATTCTGTTCCATTTATTCCAACTCTCAGGGAGTGAAGAAGGGTATAAAGATCTGATTTTTGTACCAGATAAGGAATATGTATATTTCAGTGTGATTCTTACTCCAAAGACTGGATTTGAAATGGTAACAATAACTAATTATTCCAAAAAGTATTGAGAAGATAAATTCCATCAAACATATTTAGTGAAAAGACCCAATTAATTTATGTTTTAGTTGTCCCCCGTTACTTAAGAACTGAAGTAGGAGATTCCCACACAACTGTGACTTTTTCCTGCAATTCGGCAAAACTAAACTCCCATATGTATCTGAGTTTAGGTCTGGGCAAAATGAGTATAGCAGTTTGTACACTAATTATGTTATACATTTAATTAAGTTTGGACTGATGTCATCTTCTGTTTCCTAAGTATCAAGTCTTGCCGATGCATTGAATATCACAGATGAGTCTGAATGTGGAAAAATCCAGTTTGTTCAAGTAGCAAAGCTCAAGCTTCAAGAACTTCACTTTCCAGGGTGAGCATTTTATAATATGGCCATTTGGTAATACAACCATCAAATCACTATGTTGTACCCCTGAAACTAATATAATATTGTGTGTCAGCTATACTCCAGAAATAGTTTTTAATAAAATATTATAAAAATAAAAACCAAAAAGCTGTCTGACATCTATCACAATGCTCTGCATAATCATGGGTAAATAACCCTAATTTTCTGAGGATAACATATTGTTTTTTCATGTCAATTTAAGAAATGGTCAGTTTAAGAAATTATCATAAAAGGAATAGAGAGTTATAACCACAATTGAGAAAACACAAAAAATATAATTCCAAAATTAAATCATTCACAGTCTCACCAACCTCCCGTAACAACTGTTAATGTGTCAGTCTAATTCATTCCAGTTGATTTTTGTGAACATACTCATTAAAAAATACATGCACAGAAGTATGGATGTGTTTTTCATAAAATTTAGAACAAACTTAATGGAGTACAAACTTAATTTAGTACAAACTTAATGGAGTCCATTTTTTGTATGCAAGATACAATTTTTGTATTCTGCTTTCTTTTGGGGCTTTCTAAATATATGTGGAATTCATATGTGGCATATATATGTGGACTTGCTGTCAAAGTATCTGAACACTTCTAAGGCTTTTATATTGTTTCACCACTGTTTTCAGAAGTATTTTTATAGTCCATCTACACATATATACTTAATTTCTAGCTATGTAAAA